TTACGTTGATAATGTTAACATTGTGTTAATATTATGTTGAAAAGGTTACTATTATTAAAATTTGGTAATTTAGGAGTTTGGAAACTTAGGGGTTTCGGAATTTGAGAATTGAGGAATTTAGGAATTTAAACATTTTTTAATTTGGGAAGTTACGTATTTAAGAATTGGGAAATTAGGAATTGGGAAATTAGGAATTGGGAAATTAGGAATTTGAGAAATTAGGGATATGGGAAATTAGGAATTTGGGAAATTAGGAATTTGGAAAATTGAGAATTTGGAAAATTAAGAATTTGGGAAATTTGGAATCAGGGAAATTAGGAATTTGGGAAATGTGGAATATGGGAAATTTGGAATTTGGGAAATTTGGAATTTGGGAAATTTGGAATTTGGAAAATTAGGAATTTGGGAAATTAGGAGTTTGGAAAATTAGGAATTTAGAAACTTAAGAATTTGGGAAATTTGGAATTGGGGAAATTAGGAATTTGGGAAATATGGAATATGGGAAATTTGGAATTTGAGAAATTTGGAATTTGAAAAACTAGGAATTTGGGAAATTTGGAATTTGGAAAATTTGGAATTCGAGAAATTTGGAATTTGAGAAGTTAGGAATTTGGAAAACTAGGCGTTTGAGAATTTCGAAATTTGAAAATTTGTGAAATTTGAAAAATTTGTAATTTTGAACCTGTGAACTTAAATTTTCAATACTGAAAATTTTAAACTAAAAAATACAGTACCTTGTAAATTTACAAATGTACAAATACAATTGCAAAAAAAATTTAAAAACTGACTACAATATACAATATCTACAGTATAATAAAAATACATTTATACTAAATTTTATAAACCACACATATAGCAATAAAATATTTGACCAAATTTATTTTTTCGCCCCATATCGTTACGAAATCGATTTCACATAGCGCGATTTAACGCTTGCGATACTATGACCAGTTCGCTTTTATTTGTTCATAGAGATACGTTTTATCTACGTATATTTCCATATAGCGCATATACGGAGATATAATAGTATTGAATTCGTCGATCGCTGTGGAAAAAAATTTGGATAACAGCGATCCAAATGTATGGTGCTGAATCGCAATATTCAGCACGGGTATTGGTCAAGGTTTTATGAAAGGTTTCCATGATCATTATGCCGTGACATACGTTATTACTTTTGTACGTAACGACTCACGTGCAGCTGCTACCACGAACACTTTACTTATTGCATTTAATATATATCTCCTTAATGATTTTAATTAAACGATCCTCGTTAATGTGATTGTTCGCTTCATTACCGCTTTTTAGCTGTTTGCGGTTAAGTCTCTAAAATTATCGTTGGTATTATGATGATAGTGGAAGGAAAGAGCATTAAGGAATTTTTTAATTTTGGGAATTTGGGAATTTGGGAATTTGAGGATTTGAGGATTTGGGAATTTGGGGATTTGGGGATTTGGGAATTTGGGAATTTGGGAATTTGGGGATTTGGGAATTTGAGAATTTGGGAATTTGGAGATTTGGGAATTTGTGGATTTGGGAATTTGTGGATTTGGAAATTTGGGAATTTGGGAATTTAAGGATTTGGGAATTCGAGAATTTGGGAATTTGGGGATTTGGGGATTTGGGAATTTGAGGATTTGGGAATTTGGGGATTTGGGAATTTGTGGATTTGGAAATTTGGGAATTTGAGGATTTGGAAATTTGGGAATTTGGGAATTTGGCGATTTGGGAGTTTGGGAATTTGGGAATTTGGGAATTTGGGAATTTGGGGATTTGGGAGTTTGGGAGTTCGGGAGTTTGGGAATTTGTAAATTTGTAAATTTGAGGATTTGGGAAATTTAGGAATTTGGCAAATTGGAAATTGGGAATTTTAAAATTTGAAAATTTGGGAAATTGGAAATTGAGAATTTGGGAAATTGGGCATGTGGGAATCTAAAGATTTAAAAATGTGTAAATTTGACAATTTCGAAAATGCAGTACTCGAAAATGCAATACCTCAATTTTACAAAAATCTACAAATTAAATCCAATAAATTGAAAGCTTAACTACAACTATAATATACTAATATCACTATTAATATATTAATTATTTTAAATTCAAAATATTAAAACTTGTAAAACATTGAAAAATTCAAAAGTTCCATCCAGGATACATAAATCCAAAGATATGGAAAAATCAAGACTTCTAAACTTGCCTCGGCAAGGTCCACAGTCGGCCATTTTGTCAACCTCCGTTGACTCGTATTTGTTAGTCCATATCGAACTTGATCCCATCTGTAGCCGTAACGCGGACTGTTCGTTCGTGCGTGATGTTAACAGAGAAGAGAATTCGGTTTTTTCCCCCCCGTACCTTCAGAGATTATTCTCGTGGAGGGTTTCTGTGCAGCGTCGACATGCACTTACCCTCGGATAGACAGACAGGGTTCCTAAAGGGTGATCCCATGACAGTAATCCGATACTTGACCGATACAGGTCGTTGCGTGGGATATGAAACACGTGTTTCCGTGGGCGACTGGCCCCGCCACTTTTGGAATATTTATCAATATGTTACCGAAAGCAACGCCGTTCTGTTTCCTAGAAAATTACTATTAAATACCGTGCTCGATGTATTGTCGAACGTGAAAGGTGAATTTAATTTAAACGCGCAACCAATCGCCGTACACGCGATTCGCACTGACCGTATTATGTCCTTTGTTTCGTCAGAGAAACGAATATTGTTTCATTGCTACGACGTATCAATTTTTTAAGTGGTCGAGGTTTGGTCGATAAACTGTACCGCTTGTACCGTTCAAGAGTGCTAGAAATATTTAGCCACGATGGGGGTAGGAGGTATACGTAATTAAATAAGTTCCGAATCAGTTATGATAATGTCTCGATTTAGACTTCTTAAAGTTTTATAATACCGAGGTTAATTTAGGTAATTTAGGTGAAAATTGTATTTTGATATTTTGGTTTATTTATTGAAGTGAAGGATTATGGATTTGATTGCTGCATGTCTAATACTTCATTTTAAGATATAGTGAAACATGAATGAGTTGCGTATTTTATTCTTAGTGGTACGAATCGAAATATTCTGACAGAACCTGAATAAATTATATAGTTCAAAATATAAAGATTGTAGGTAGTTCTAATATTATTAGCAATTGTAATGTGAGCATGAAAATGCATCTCAACAAGTAGTTTATAATTGTTAACTCAAACTTGTGACCAACTCGTATCTAGCTGTTAGATACGAATTTTGCAAATGAGCTCGTTCAATCATACTCAATTTTTGAAACTGTCCCCATAACCAAAATTCTTAAATTTGGAAGTAAATAGAAAATTATTGAAATGAATAAAAATTTTAACAATGTTTTATTACAGCCTTGTTTTCAATGCATTTGAAAAGCTGATATATCAAAGAGAGATAACAGTAGCAGACTTCCAAAACACCTAGCTCTTTCGTTAATGTACATATCGCAGTCCCAAGCGTGCGTCTCTTAAGCGAGAAATACTTTAGTCCCTTTAGACGAAATGTTTGAGTAATACTGTGAGCAGCTTTCGCTATTTTAGGGACGTAGGATTTTCTTGAGGGATGCTCGCAGAGCCGAATTTAAGATCGTCTTGAGAATAATACGTAGTCATTACAGAAATGAAGATTTATATTTACAATGCATACTTTTAAAAGTATTTTTAATACTCTTAATCGAGCTCACTTTTTAATTGCAAAAAAGATAGTAAAATAAATAATGAAGTATAAATTAACTTGTTCCACAATTTTTTAATTTAACAAAAATTAACAGATTATTTGGGAAAAACACAATTACAAAATTTTGTAATATTTTATATATGAAGACAATCATTTTTACTGGATGATAATTATAGTGCTAAATTGAAACAATTTCATAAAAATTATAATGTATTATTAAGAGAACAATCATATTTGAAAAGGTTAATAAAAAACAGTGTTTGGAATATTGAATAAAATATGTTCTCTTAATATCAATGTTTTAAGATTTTATCCAATCAATTGCTTTATCTGTCATCATTAGTGAATCTGACAGATAGTCACTAATGAGCACGAAGTCATTAGTGGATGTGCTCAGGTGCAGCTTAGGCTTCTTTTAAGTACGAACATGTATGTGAACTTGAAAATATCATAACTTTTTTCAGATTTGCAAATCTTTTAATTTCTAGCTGTTCTACAAATTTTGAAAGCTTCATAATTTGACACCTACAAATTTCTATTTTTGCAAATTGGTATAACAGATTTTTTCAGATTAACAAATTTGAAAAAAATCCTTAAATTTATACATTTTCTAAGGTGCTAAATTTTTAAGTTTTCAAGTGAGCAAATTTCTGTATTTTCAGGTTCTCAAATTTTCTGAAATCTCAAATTTATAACATTTTAAGTTCTCTTTCCCTAATTCTTACATTTCCAAGATTTTCAAGTCTGCAAATTCTAGAATTCTGACACACTTAAACTTCTTTATTTTCAAGTGTTTTAAACTTCTCAAGTTTCAAAATTCTCAATGTATTCAAAAATTTCCAAACTTTCAAAATTTCGAAATTTGTAAAGTTCGAAATTCAGAAACCTGTCAACTAAAGCTCCAGCAGTGTTCCCCACCACCCGTTGTAATTAACACGTATCTCCAGGGAAGCCAGATTTGCAGTCGACTATACCTGTACCTTATTAAATGAGCAAAGTTTACCCGAGAAGCTCGATCAAAGTTCGAAATAATAAGTTTGCGACATTTCACACAGGGTCGAATAATTTTGTGCACATTACGTGCAGGTTGGCAGGGTCGTTTTTTGGACGGTGGAGGATTGTTGAGGGTTCGGCGTTGTGCAAACCACGGAAGCTCGGTCAGTGTCTCGGCCACCCTCGTGGCGTGCAGGTTTGCGAGGGAGGAGACTGCTTGTTCCCGGCATCCCCTCTAGATATACATACATATCCCCCTCCTCCTTTATCCCTCTCTCGACTTAATGCCAGTACGAGCGCGCGCTTTCGAACGACGCGTCGTGTCGGCCGCAAGGGACGATCAGTCTGTTCTCCACGTTCTCCACGCAAGGACGATCGCCGCCGGCAATACCGTCCTCTAATCTGTCACACGAACTTTGACCGTGCTCCCAGCTGCCTTCCTCGCGATCTTTCTTATCTCCTCGATGACGTACGCGACACGATGTTCGTGAAGTTCCGAGATCGGCGTTTCATCGGATCTCAGTAACGACTACGTACGCGTCGCGTTCGGTACGCACTCCACCGAATCTCTCCCGTTCGCGCCAGAAAAAAATATATCAAGTTTTTTCGTTCGAAAACGATCCCAGATCGAATCGTTCCGTTGTTGTCCTCTACGAAATATTCGGAGATGTGATCGGTTTCCTTTTTCCCGCACGAAAACTACTTTCGAGTGGTGAAGTTCGTCGGTGAACGACAAAAGGGGTGAAAAAGAAAACAGTGGCAAATGCATCGGTGTAGACGGTAGTACGGTTGGTCTTTTATGGCCTAGGGTCAGAGAAGAGAGGCTCGTTGTCTTTTCAAGACCGATCGACGGTATCGAGATGAGACTGCTGTTGTTGCTTTCGATCTTTTGGCTGGCGTGCCGATACGCCGATTGCCGGGCGGTCCACGCCGATTCCACGGACAACGAGCTACGAACGAGCAGGCGTAGATTTACCGTGGAAGAGCTGATTAACACCAAGTTCCCTCACGGAATCAGCGGCGATCTGGATGTAGACGTTTGTAAAGCGGGTAAGCATTGTTTCTCTCGACACCAAACTTCAAACATGTTTAAAAAATAAATTGATGCACACATTAATTATTTAGTTCTACGATAATCAGCGTTGATTTCAAGAAAATCTCCTTAAAAAATTGTGCACTTTGTAAAAAGAAACTTGTGAACCGGCTTTGGTAGTTTCAGTGTTAATCCGAGCCGGCCGAAACAACCTGTTCGTGTTTTTGTCCGGGAAAAACTGTCTTAGTAATCTAATGGAATTTTTTTACGATAACTGCTGCTTCTTTTGCTCTACTTTTCTCTGATGTTTAATTAGTAAATTGAAAGGTTATACGAAAGTAGAGGAATAAAAATTATCCTTTGGTAATTATTGCTTCAATTTATTGTTACTGATTGTAACCCGTATAAAATAATTATAATATATTAATAAATTATTCCGGATTATGATCGAAGCTTTGTACAGTAATATTTGCATACCTGCTTGTGAAAGCCTGAGTTCGTTAATGTATAATGTAAAATGAAGATTTTGATAATTATTAAGTTTGGACATTTTTTTTATTCAATCTATTTATCTGGAGTAATGATATTTCAGTTTAATAACTTTATATCTTTGTTCTTTTTGTATCAATTCACTATAAATAGAGTTGATAACGAAATAAATGATTCAACGCTGTTCTTTTCAATTACGTTTCGACCACCGAATAAATATTATATTCCGTATAATCGCTTAAAATTAAAGTTTACTGCAGATTCGTCGAAATGATTGCGTCACTGTAAAAACTTTCGTAGTATTTGCAGTAGCGATTTAATTAGACCTTTGACAGAATAAAGGCGTCCATTAAATGATTGTATAATTCTCTTCTTTGTTTTTAACTTGATCCAAACGTTTTGGCAACATCTGTACGCGTTTATGATGAAAAGTGATCCAATTTTTGTTTCTGCTGCTGGAAAAGCCTTCGAGGATATGAAAGCTTTTCAAATCGCCGCTTTGCAGAAATTTATAATGGAGAAAGTTTTTCTGCTTTCTTTAATATTCGGAAGATTGCTACAGCTGCAGTACTGAAAATCTTCCGTTTATTTTTATTGAATGATTAAATGTAGTAATCCAGGGATATGGAGATATAAGAATTCAGGAATGGTGATGCAAGGATGGGGATATCTAGGGGTAGGATGATATAGGGATGGGAGTATTTAGGAGTACTAGATACATAGTAGATGTATAGGGATAGTGCAATGTAGGAATAGGAGGATCTGAGGATACAAAAATGTAGAGACATTGTAAGGATGAAGTATGTAAGGATATGTGATACTTGTAATTACGAATCTGCAAATGTAGTAATATGGAAATGTACTGATCTGGGAATGTAGAGATTTGAAGATGTAGAAATCTGGAGATGTAGAAGTATGAAAATGTAGAGATCTAGGAATGTAAGGACCAGAGGATATAAAGATCTGGAGATGTAGGTATCTGGAGGCATAAAGATCTAGAAATGTATGAACCTGGAGATGTAGAGATCTGTTGATGTGGAGATCTGGAGACATAAAGATCTAGAAATGTATGAACCTGGTGATGTGGAGATCTGGAGACATCAAGATCTAGAAATGTATGAACCTGGAGATGTAGAGATCTGGAGACGTCGAATTCTAGAAATGTAGAGATCTGATTGTCGAAGCCTGGGGATGTAGAAATCTGGAGATGCAGCGACCTAGAGACGTAGAGATTTGGGGATGTGGAGATCTTAGAATGTAAAAATCTAGAAATGCAGAAATCTTTGGATGTCGAGACATGGGGATGTAGAAATCTGGAGATATAGTGACCTAGAGACGTAGAGATTTGGGAACGTAGAGAACTAGGGATGTAGAGATCTAAGGATGTGGAGATCTAGGGATATGGAGACCTGAGGATGTAGAGATCTAAGGGTATAGAGATCTGGAGATGTAGAAATCTAGGGATATAAAGATCTGAGAATGTAGAGATCTAGAAATATAGATACAGATAAAGATTGAAGGATGCAAAGATCTTGGGGGTCTTGGCATACAAAATATTTGGATCTATGAACCTAGATGTCTTAGGACATAAAAATGCCAGTATCGAACTTAGTATCCATTATGATCTAAATCTTGCAATGTAATAATCTAACTATCTAAAGATCTACGAATGTCAGTATCTAGATTAAAAATCTAAGGACAAAAAAATATGTTGCCCCAGTGTTCCACAAATAACAGTCACTCAATAACAGAGATGTACGAATATAATGATTCTCTGATTCAGAGACGCTGAAATTTCGAAATTGCCATATTTGTACAACTATCAGCGCCTTTCATTGTCTATGTTTCAGGGAAGTTTAACACAAACGTTTAACGTTTCTCAAATGTATGATTCAAACGCAACAGAAAGCGTCGTTCTCGTATTCTGTACGCGCGCTTATGTAAAACACAGATCGACGCGTTTTGCTATGAAAATGGTAAAAACGTGCACCGTTATCGGTATTGTACCAGATAACGAAGAAATTTTCTTCTTTTTCCGTTAGTTTGCGTAATACGTGTTGCGAAATAGCCGGCAATAGAAGATACAATTACGGAGCAGCATCGTTGCGCTCGACACAAAATTTGCATGTTATTGCAAAATATTGTCCGAACACCGACAAACTGCGATTAAACACGCGTTACTCGAATGCTCGAATATATCGCGGGCTTTGTACTCCGCGAAAATCTGTATCTTGGGAGAACGTTTATCGAATTTCAATTAAAACGAACTCTCGCGAACAGACATAACTTTAAACCGCTCCGAATACTAAATCATCTTGCTGCGATTTAAAAAGATGTTATTTACGTCGTAACCTTTGTGTTGATGACACTCGAATATCCATCATAGTTAGACGATATAGTAGTACAATTATCGATGGTATCTTTATGAAGTAAAATACCATCACATAAATTTTGCAAGTATTTTTCATTGATAAATTGGTTTACCTGAGCATCAAAAAGAAAAGTGCTTTCACACGATATTACAGTTTGCACAAATATTTAAATGTTTAGCAACTTCGAGCTTTTTCTGACAGTTTTAGCCCCTTTTTTGGATTTGATTTAATAAGGTTTGAGAAAAAATCGTAAAAGAGGTAGAATATTTCGAAAGGGAATATATTACGAAATGGAGGGAGAATATGTGAATGCGAATTTCAATAATTATTGAAACTCGTAATTTTTCTTTAAAATGGTACTGTTAATGTTATATACAGTTCTAATGATATATAATGATGTAGTTCAGCACTCAAAATTTACTTAAATTATTAAGGTCAAGTTAGAGCAAATTTTAACTAAATTTCGCATAAGGATTCGAAATCTAATTTGTCAGATAATGAACGTTCGATAAATGGTCATCTAGCTGTCCATTACCTGCTAAGTGTCCTAAAAAGTTCCTTTCATTAGCATTTCCTAAATAATAATTTAATTAAATCAAGCGAGTAATTGAATTTACAATGCTTCAATTATCCATTACGAAATATCTTAAAGGGAACACCCTGACTTTCAAGATTCGCATCGAATACCGCCATTATATTCCGCAATAGAAGGCCAGTATGAAAGTAAAAATTTGATCGAGTTGTCGGAGCGAATCAAAGACGATTCTATCGTTGGGCATTGATTCCGTTTCTCCAACGCGTACAGAGGATCGCATGAAAAGCCGACGCTCGAACGATCTTTGCCTAAGATACGACGCTCACAAATCGGTCTTATGCTTTCGAATTAACGAGAAGACGAAGGAAGCCACAGAAACCGAGGGACAAGCGAGATTGGCCAATCAAGAAGGAACGCGGCTCGGTAAGGGCCACTGACCATTATTGAAGGACCTCGTTCCTGCGGCGTCCGATAATCTTTCCTTCTCCAAGGACCTACGATACTCATTGTGCCTAACAGACGAAGTCGACACTCGAAGGGTCCAGCATCGTTCCATGCTTGCGGACAGAAAGAACCTTTTCGAGTGATTATCTTGGCCGTAGACCTTGCTACGAGCAGAACAGAATCGAAAAGAATGAAAAATGACGCGATGATCCTTTCGGACAGGGTGTTGGCCTCGCAGTTGGAAAAAAACGCGAACGGACGAATGAGAAATTCATCTTACTCCTGGTCTTGTTCGATGGGTCATTTATATTTCCCGGGATATACAGGGTGGCTCGGATAGAACCACCACCGAAATCGATGCGAAAAAATAAGTGATAAATATACAGTATTTGATGTGCGGGTTCTTTTCCGAGGAGATTGGATTTCAATAGTTTTTTACTGGAAGCTTGTTTAAAACGAGAAAAAAAGGATCGATATATATTCGATATAGTTTCTCAATAAGAAAATAAATAGTTAACGGATTGTTCATTTTTGTTAACTGTTTGTTAATTATTTGTTGTTCCTTATGTTAAACTTGCCCTATGATTAGTTTGTCATGTGCGTCAATCAGAAGTAATTTTTAACTACAATAGTATTAAAATCATTAAAGAAAGTCAAAATGTTGTGACTATTTTATATTCAATAGTCTTTGACTATACAAATTATAATTAGATTTGAACTTCAAATTGAAATGTATTAAATATTCAAGTAAGATTTGTCGCATTTGAATCGGAAGTGTGTCACGAGCCTGGCTTGTTTAAATACTACGAAGGGTTAAGAATCTTGGGGTTTCAGAGAAAAATTGCGGTAATTAAATATTTTTAAATTTAGGAAAATATATATTATCAAATATCTTTAATGTTAAATTACCAAGTCTGGAAATTATCAAGTGCCCACATTATCAAATCTTTAAGTTACCAAGTTTGTAAGTGATAAAATGACTATATTATCAAGTTCTCTATTTTTCAAATTTCTAAATGATCAAATCTCCGAATGTCCAGACACTGAATGACAATATTTCTATGTTATCGACTTTCCAAATCATCAAATTTTTAAATGACCAAATCCTCAAATGGTGAAATCTCCAAAAGACCGAATTCTCATACTATAAAATCCTCAAATGACCAAGTCCCCAAAT